CTGCCAGCGGCGCCGGCGGCCCCCTCATCCGCATATCCTCCGGACATCATGGCCCATGGGTCGGGAGTCCATCGTACGTGATGTAGTACACTCTACCGCGGGGGTAGGATGAGTGAGGACGAGCGGGGGCGAGCGGGGTGTGACCCGGGCAACCGAGGTAGGGGAGGGGAGGGGGGGGAGACAAGCAGCAGCAGCGGCGGCGGCAGCGGCAGCGGCAGCAGCAAAGCATAGGAGGCGGAGGACGACAAAGAAGCAGATGTAACGTAATTAGGGACAGACACATCCTGCTAGACACAACGCCAGCAAACAAACACGGGGAAGTGAGGGAGGGACGTTGCAAACCAAGGGGGGAGGAGACGAGCCGCGAAACGAGTGAAGGGGGGACCGGGGCGTAAGGAAAGGGAAAGGAGGAGAGGGGGAGGCGGGCTCCGGACAGAAATGGAACACAGAACGGGGGCAATGCAAGACGCGGCTTGTCAAGCAGTCCGAACGTCCCTCTGCAATCCAGAGTCTGCATGCCTGCACAACGTCCCCCTGCCAACTCCCAACTCCCAACTGCCAACTCCCAACCGACCCACCTGCATGAGGCCCAAGAACACGGAGGAGGGTCCCGCGGGTCTGCTGGGACGCAGTAGCGCGGGGGGCCCCAACATGCCGCCCAACAAACCGCTCTTGGCTGTAGCACATTCACATACACAGCACGCACAACACACATTGTTGTGGATGTATGTGTGTGGGTGGGGGGAGCTTGGGAGGCAAGGGGCGTTACATTCTTGATGGAGCACAACTCTACCGGCGGAGCCAGCCGCCGACAGGTCCGGTAAAAGCATCCGGGGAATACAGGCGAGTCGAGGACGGCAATTGCTACTAGCCAGCTGGCTGCAACCGACCAACCAACGAACAAACCCGGAAAGAACCTTGAAAATCTGAGAAAATCACATTGAGGCCTTAAACCACCTCCCGCCCATTACCCAGTCGCCACGCCGCACACCCAATTACCCGCACGCACCAGCGCAAACATACATACATACACACACATACACACCCGACAGAAAGTAGCTGCATCATCCCCGTCGGCAAACCTCAGTGAGCTTGCTGCCACCCGGGGAGGGGGTGCCCCTGCCCCTGCCCCTGCCCCTGCCCCTGCCCCTGCCCCTGCCCCTGCCCCTGCCCCTGCCCCTGCCCCTGCCCCTGCCCCTGCCCCTGCCCCTGCCCCTGCCCCTGCCCCTGCCCCTGCCCCTGCCCCTGCCCCTGCCCCTGCCCCTGCCCCTGCCATCGTAACCCAGATCCAACCCTAATACAGATCTAACTTCCGAGCCCCGCCTAAGCGCCCCAAGAACGTGACCCACCCGTAGCGACGGCGAAAGGCAGCTGCCCCTCCTCATCCGGACCTCTCCCCCGCTGCACAGTGACGGACCTGCAGCGGTCCCCCTCCACCGCCATCACGTCCCAGGCCGCCTCGAATGCGCCCCAGCTGGAGCCGGCGGGGAACTGCGGGGGCAACATCCCCCCACCACCACCACCACCTGGGCCAGGCAGGGGCAGGACGGGCAGCACAGAAAGCGAGATGGGCAGACAGGCAGACAGACAGACAGACGCCCCCCGCAGCCTAAGGTCTCCGTTCCGACGACGGAACGACTATCGTCGTTCACGTCTACGTCGGAACTACGACGATCAGCTGGCCGACCAGCAGGAAGACGGGAAGTGCTGGAGTGGAGGCAGCCTGACATGGAAAAGGACCGAGCGGGACTCCCAGCCAGCCAAGGGGATCCGTCGTCATGTGCGGCCGCAACGACCAACAACAAACACCTAACGGCCCCCAACGGCCAGCAGCAGCAGCAGCAGCCGCAGCCGAAGTCCTTAAGCATCCTACAAGTTACATGATGCCAGATCACGCCCTTTCAATGCCGGGTTGTGTCGCGGCCACGGAAAATAAACCCTTAACACCCCCTTCACCTTCCCCTCGTCGTAAGACATCGGAGGTCCCTGAAGTACTGCTGGCCGCAGCCGTCCGGTCCCGATGGCTCATGGCTCCGCCGTACGACGAGCCGTCGACGGGAGGCCCCGCGTGCAGCGGCGGCGATGCCGTACTCCCCGGTAGGCTACTTGCTGAAGAGTCTATCGAAAGCCTTTCAACGCTGCTGACGCCGCTGCCGCCGCCATGGGTGCTGCCGCCGCGTGCCATGGTAAGGCCCGTATCAGGGGGCATGGTGGCGGCGCCGCCGCTGCTGCCAGCGCGCGGCGGCGGCTGAAGCAGTAACGGCGGGCCGCCTGCCGCCGCGGTCGGCGCCGTACTGATGTGCGGCGAAGGCCTAGGTGGCTGCTGGTGCATGTATGGGTACGGTTGTTGCTGCGATGACGTTGAAGGTCGCAGTTGCTGCTGTTGTGTTGAAAGTCGTGGTTGCGGATGCATCGTTCGTAACGCGCCGCCGCCTCCGCCGCCAGCAGCGCTGCCGAGTGGATGCTGTAGCCCAGCAGCTGCCGTCGCAGACGCCGAAGACATAGCTTCCCGCCTGCTACTCCCACTGCCGTCCGGTGCCACTCCTGCTGCTGCAGCCGCTGCCTGGCGCGGCGGCGCCGGCGGGGCCGGATGTGACCCATGGGTCATCGGTGGCCGTGGCCGCGACATAATCAAATCTGGCGGCACCAGCGGCTGTTGCCGTATTCGTTCAAGCGCGGTGATGTGCCGACCGAGTAAGCAAAGTACGGCAGGTTCGTCGACGGCGGGGCCCAGTACGGCGCTTGCTGCCGTCAACGCCGTCAGCGCCTCTCGCTGCCATGTCAATCCCGACGCGGCGGGGACGGCTCCAGCAGCGCAAGGCCGCGACGGCGTCGCCGCCGCCGCCGCTGACACTTTCTCCTCCGCCACCTGAGGCTGCTGCTGCTGCTCCTGCACCCGCTTTTGTACTTCCGAAAGTCCGAAGCTAAGGCAAGACGCGACCAGGCGGTTGTACCGGCGTCTTGCCCCTGGCGGCAGAGGCTGTTGCGGAGCCCCGGCGGTGGCGGCGGGTCGCAGCGCTGCCGCCAGCAGCAATGCCTCCAGCGCCGCCGCCGCCAGGCCGGCTGCTTCCAGTGCACGACTTGTACGGAGTGCGAGCTGCCGCAGCGCCCGGCACGCCGCCAGCGGTACCGTTTTACCGGACATGTACTGCACGCCAATCCGAATGCAATAGTCAAGCGCCGCCACGTCGAGCGCCGCCGCCGCCGCCGGTGGTGACGCGGGAGGCGGTGATGCGGTGCCGCCAGCGGCGGCGCTGCGGGAGTCGACGAGATGAAGTACGGCCCGTACAGGTTCGCCCGCCAGCACCTCCAGTGTTGCCACGGCACAAGGGTCCCCACACACACGCGCCAGGGGCATCAGCTCCTGTACACGAACAACAGCCGGTGCGAGTTGTTGGTTGGGCCGTAGTACGGGCAGCACTGCACAGGGAGGCTGCTGGACGGCCAAACACAGCGCCAAACGCCCGCGCAACACCCCTGGAAGGGTTCACAAACACCACGTACGGGAGGTACGGGAGGTGCAGCAGGTACGGCAAGTACGGCAGCTACGCACTCGTATCGGAGAGATATCCGAGAGAGATGAAACCACGGTCCCCTACCTACCTGTTCGATGAGCCTCCGAGCAACGGGACCCCCCGGACCGCTCCCGGGAGGGTCCAACAGCCGCGCCACCAAGAGGGCGAGTTGCGGATCGCGCTGCTCCCGTACAAGTACACTTACGGCGTCGTACAGTTGTCCGGCGAGGATAAAGAATGCCGCGGCGAGTTCGTACCTGCGGAAGGGTCATTAGCGTGGCGTGTGAGCCGGTGTGTTTAGGAGCGAGTATGAGCGTGTGTGCGCGTGTATGTGCGTGTGTATAAAGTGTTGATGTGGTAGCGGGGGAATCATATGTGCTGCAAGGGAACTCAGAAATGAACTTCCTGCCGGAAGGCGTCCTCAAAGTCCGAAGAAACCGCCCCCAGTGAGGACGGAAGTGATTAAGCGGTGTTGGGGGGAAAGAGGTGTTGGGGGGGGGCCCGGAGGTGAGAGGGGTGATTCGGATAATGTGGATGAAGGAAGGGCTCCGGGAAGGGCAAACAGACATACAGACAGACGGATACACGAGCAGGGGCGAGAGGAGAAGAGCGAGCGAGCGAGCGAGAGAGAGAGAGTGAGGGAGAGAGAGCAGGGAAAGGGTTGCAAACGCGCGGATAACACCCAACCCGACCAACACCCAGTCCCTTTACAGCTCCCACCCCCTCACTGTTTCAATCCCCTCAGGGAGGCGGTTTCGTGCCTGGGCCCGATGCTCTACAAGATCACAACCCACCCAAAGACCCTGATCCAAATCCATGCAACTCAAAATACTCTATAGCAAAAAACTATTATTGAAGATCCCTTACCGCCTCTTCTGCAGCACGCACGATATGAAAGCCTCCAATGCAGGCTCATCCTTCCCCCACATCCCTCCATCCCCCCAACCATTCCCCTACCAGCCACACACTTCCCACTTCCCTCTACAACTTCCCCCACGACTTCCCGTCACAATTTCCACACACACACAAAAAAAAAATTCCTCCACCCTTCCCCCCCCCCCCACACACACCACTCCCGCCGCACCGTGCCCCTCACCGGTGCTGACCGAGCAGTGCGAATGCGTTCTTGGCGGCGGACTTCCTGGGCTCCGCCTGGTTGAAGTCCCGCAGCAGGAAGTCGGCGATCTTGAGGTTGCTGGACTGCCTGTGCGGTCCGGGAGGGCAGGAGGACGGTGGTCAGTCTGGTATGTAGCGGGGAGGTAGGAGGGCAGGAGGGCATCCGCCGGGGGGGGAAGATACGGGAGGGTGTGTGTTGATGACGGTTCGTCTCCGAAATTATAAAACCCTAAAACCCACACTGCTCACATCCCCCTCCTCTTTAACCCGCACCCACCACACACGCCAACAGGTCCTGAACCTGCTCGGCTCACCTGAACAGGCTCAACAGCAGGGCCTTACG